TTTATTTTTCACAGAATGAATTGACGATATAATTAATTCTGTATTAAAAAATGAAATTAAATAGTTCTGGAAAAAATAACAATTATGTAAATAATCCTAATCACTATATCAAGATCACGGGGTAGGGATTCTGCTCGCTCTAAAAATATCTTTTTGTATTGTATTTAGTTTTTAAAAAATGATCAAAGTCACGTTTATTTTATAGAGACAATACAAAAAAATATTTTTAGAGTGAGCAGAATTTTGGACGCCCTAAGTCTGGTCCAATCCTCGGTCTTGGATTCGGTCTTGAAAATAACAATACATTTTATATGATTTAGATCCTGCATTAGATACTAAATTGAATTTATCAAATAAGTTTATCCAATCAAATTAATTTTGTATTGGCCCTACCTCTGCCAACGTTAAGGTAGAGGTAAGGTCACATGATAAGAAACAGATTTGGTTCTATGCTTTTCATGTAGTTGCTAGTTTTTTGGATCGATTTACAGATCTATACATGATTATTACCCAATTAAATTACATGATTTTTATTATATTACAGTTCAAAAATAAAAACTTCAAGACAAAAAGTTTATATGAATTGGTAAAAACACTAATTATATACATATAAAAGATAGGTTTAAAGTAACCCGTAAATTATTTAAGTTCACATCTCTGTCTCAAAACTTTATTATTTCAAAAGACAATAAAGCTAAAATTGAATAATCAAAAAAAAAAAAAAAAAAATCAACAAAGAGCTAGTAAAAACACCACCAATCAATTTATATTCAGATATTTTTTTCATTTTTCTCCCTGTCTAATTCTTTTTGTATGTTGAATAATTTGTTATTAAGTCCAAAAATAATAGTGCCAAAGTTATTGATATGTTTTGATTGATTCGCATTCAATCTTTAATAATAAAAATTTAATTAATATAATATACAATTTCTTAGAAATATAAGATAAGAAATTATTAAAATATGCCTTTTTTCATGATTAAGTTTTTTATTCAAATTATCGATTTCACTGCAGATTATATGGTTAATATATATATATACAATTTATTAGCAACTTAAAGACTATTAAAATTCTGAAAAAATACGTTTTCTTCTGATCAAGTTCTTTAGTCAGGCGATAGATTTCATTGATATGAAAAGACTCTCTGTGTGTTTGATTTTTCAGATGTACTGCAGCTTTACATTAATGCATTGTTAGTAAATTCTAGAATTACATATGCTATCACTAAAACATAAAGATGAACACCTTTTTGTAGCAAGTCCGCTTTACTCATCTTATTTCTTGCAAGATGATGTGGAAGCACTTTATAAAGCACATTGAAGCCATTTCTGATTTTCAAATTTGATTTTCGCTCAGCTTCGGCACGTTTCTGTTTTCTATTTGTTCAAATTAGATTTTATTTTATAGAGATTGCAAATTCAATAAAGATGAATTATACCTGGCATTATCAGAGGTTCTATCATTCGATGTTATTTCTAGAGATTTAAGAGTTTAAAAAAGAAAATTTAAAGTTTATTATGAGTAGTGACACGTTTTTCTCACTTAACCGCATAGATGAATATGAAGGAAAAAGAGGTACATTCTTACTTTGGCTTCTAGCCATGAAATAATTGTTCTATGGACTGCTTTTCAAATTAAACTCTATGCGCGCGTTTTTTCTGAAAAATTATTACCTAGGTATTCAGAGTAAAAAAGATAAGGGCAAAGGTGACGAATGATGTCAATAATTTCTCGTGCCATATGTTTGTAAATAGATTTTTCCTATAGTTTATTAAAAAGCAAGTGTACAGCATATGATATATGATCACACATAGCAGCAATCTACACTAATTAAATTCTGTGCGCGTTTTCTGAAAAATTATTACCTAGGTATTCAAAGAAGGATCTGTCTTGCCGTAAATGAAAAGGATAAGGGAGAAT